CCCCGACTTTGATCAGCCCAGAGGTTGTTTCAGGGTTCCATCTGTGACTTAGCCATGCCCCGACTTTGATCAGCCCAGAGGTTGTTTCAGGGTTCGATCTGTGACTTATCCATGCCCCGACTTTGATCAGCCCAGAGGTTGTTTCAGGGTTCGATCTATGAGTTAGCCGTGCCCTGACTTAGATCAGCCCAGAGGTTGTTTCAGGGATCAATCTGCGGCTTATACTTACTTTAATAAATAAAAAATAAATTTCATCGATAATCTTAAAACTGTCAGTTACTCACCTTGCCAAGGCTAGTATTCTTCAAGCACTTATTTATGACACTACAGTCATAGCCTCTTCGATGTACAATCATAAGTGCCTCGTCTGAAGGTCTAGACGCGGCGCCATCTTGAATCGTTCGTAGCATCAAAAGCGAGACATCACATGGCAATGGTGTCGTCAAACCAGAGAAACTAGGTAACAGTTTCCCATATGCATCGGATGTTTCTGCCTGAGTATAGAAGGTGAATTGGGGGCGAAGGAGGTGGTCTGACAATCGGTGACCCAGTAAGGAAGGGTAGACAAGCGTTTCCCGTTTGGGCTGCAAAAAGAAGTTTGCATAATCAATTTCTAAATCAATTCTATTTAGAGAGTCACAACCACCTGAGCGTTGAACGTGGCGCGCAAAGCATGAGTGGACAAAATGACCGGCCCTAAGCATTCGTATACCACGTACTTACCGCATCTTTGCCGGTGTCCTTAAAACGTTCTAGTAACAGTCTAAAGTTGGAAGGTGTTCGTTTGTTGTCCAGGACTCCTTGACCAAGACCTCTGTTATCATCTTGGGATAGTCTTCTGTCCAACACTACCTCTAAACTACCTGTAGATAACAAATAACAAACCGTGATTACAAGTATATGGGATCCCTGTGGTTAATAGTCCCCACCCTAAACAACAGACCATTTTCGAATTAGTCAAATTCCTTCATTACAAACTCATTTACCCAGGATTAGCCTCGTATCAGTGTCTAGATATTTACAAATACCAACGGTAAAGTAAAGAATGCATAACGTCAACAACACAAACACTTTGAAATTCCACGGACCTTCACTGGAAAACATGATACGCTATATAGGGTATAGGGGCTAGCCCTGATTAACAGATAATTCACTGGATTGATAACCACACCATTTGACACACCAATTCCGCATTCATTGTTCTACCTCTCTAATTACTGTTGCTAAGTCGGATATGCTAAAATGTGTTTTTGATATACAGCATGGAACAGACACCGATTGTTGAAAATTGTAAACGTCTGTCTTTTAAAGTTAATAGACCGTTTTCTCAATGTTGCGTGCGCATCCAAGTTTAAAGAATTTGAACTGCCACGATACCAGAACACGAGTATTATCATGCATGGTGATGAAAATTGTTTCAATAAGAATTTATAACATCGATTATTCTCGATTATTCTTGAAAATTGTGTTTTCAATTTTACTGAATTTGTTTTTCAGTTTCGTGTCCCGTCAAGTTGGATGCGCACGCAACCTTGAGAAAACGGTCTATTCATTCTAAAGGTACATTATGAAAAAAATCGAGAACTACTAAGAAATCTTATCAATTCGAGTTTATTGGTCGTATTCTGTATTCGATTGGAAAAATTACCAATTGTTTAGGTGAACAGGCAAGCATAGCCGCTGATACCTATTTGGACTTGTGCTAGCTAGCTTTGTTAAGCAATAAGTTTACTTTGGGTTGCCTGTGTTAAGTATTGGTTTATTTACCTTGGGCTTACTGTGTTGTGTGATGTTTTCATAAACATGGGTTATCTGTGCTTTTTTATACTGATATATTCCATACCTGGTTGCAGAGATGCTACTCCATTGGGCTGGGCAGATAGTAAACTCAATCTCTTCGTACGGTCCTGTAAGAAGGCCATGGATGGCATGGGGTAGAAATTGGCCTGGATCGGGAGCTTATCTAATGTCTTACGTTTTTGGATCTGGAAATCAAATAATGTTAACAGTTAATCAGTGTCGTTGAGCCTTCACAAAGCAGTCTTCCTTGGGGATGCTGGTCACGTAATAGAGTTATAGAATGAATTTACTTAATAAAGGGACACTAGGGTGAAAAGCCGTCAAAATCGGAAACTGATTATTCCCGGTTTAAGTAATTTAACAATGAATATAAATAACTTTAAAAACTACTTGACCAACAATTCTGAATTTTAAACATGTAGTCACCAAGAAATTTTGGTTTGAAAGATAAAATGACAATAGGGTTGATCAAATGATGTCATTCACTCACGATATAGGATACAATAAATGTTAAGATAAGTGAAAATTGTTATCTGACACTTTTGATTGTTAAGAAAATATGTCGCTTGGCGACCATTGAGGCCATATTGATCGGTTTAACCAATTTTAAGTCATTTCCCAGTTTCATCCAAGTGCGCCCCTTTTTTAACCCGTGAAATAGTTCGAAACAGAACACCTTACCGTAAACCCATTCAGGTCGGTGAAGAACTCTCTGTTGGGATTCTTAATGTTACTGGTTACACGCATGACAAACTCCTGATAAAATAACAAATATAATTGATGGATTACTCTGTTACTGTGGCGATATGTTTAAGGAATAATGACTATAGGGAGAGACCATTCAGGATAGGTAAAAAATCTCGACCACAAGGAATAAAAAAGACACCAAGACCAAATCTTTTGTCAAAATCAACGAGAATGGTGGCCATGACGACGTCACATGCAGCCCCAGAACATCGGGCATTTTTAAGTAGAGACAAAAATGGTTAGCAGTCGTTCACATGGACCACAAGGACCTTTTGGATTATAAAACAATAGAACGAGGCAGTAACACAATAGATTAGATGTATTTTTTAACACTCAAATGTCCTTTTGGTCGATGTGGACGAAATCTAACCGACCAAAACAATGAGCAAGATGCATGTTTTTTTAAGGGTGGGCTGGAGGAAAGCAGTAATTATTCACTTTAGTCACCTTGTTGGACGCGCTACGGATATCAACCGTGTTTTGGATATCCAGCATCTTGCTTTCTGGGCCTACAAAGAAAGGACAAAACATGACTATTCTGGGTTTTCTGTCGATGTGTAATCAAATTTTACAGATAACGTCATTATCACTACCTGGAGGTACATTATACAATTATTTGGTGAGGTGGAGCATGATATCGTAAAATATCAAGACCAAGACAGTGTTATCTGCCAAAGATAGGCTGCGGCGTAGGCTGCGCCAGATAAAACGGCCGAGGTCTTGATAATTTACCATGCCAAAACCGAATGCAATAATTGTTTTATTATATATTTTGAGCTCGCGGAGACGCGACGCGTAGAAACGAGCTATTTAAACTAAGAAACATATTTAATTCTGCATTCAAAAAAAAAAAAAAAAGATTGCAAAACTTTTTTCAATTTCTAAGTTCTCAACGAGTAAAATGTATAGCACATAAGATTGAAAAAACATGATCATTCTTACCATCCACACTGTAGATCCTGACGACATGTAGAACGTTAGGAAAAGCTACACGCACTTCTTGCATCTAACAGGATAAAATAACGGTATACGTCTATCAGGGGATTGTCTTTTATTTTTCATTTTGTTTTACAAATTATTCTTTCTAAATGGAGTCACATTTTACTTTGGTTTTCGACGGTTTTTAAAGAGGAGTTTGCAAAGTTTTCCGCCAGGAAAAAAATGCCATTCGCGATGACAGCGCCATGATTCAACGCGCGCGTCTTATTCATTACCAGTTTTCCACGCAACCACGTAAAGGCAAATATATTATTTCAGTTACTGGCCTCTACAGAGGGTACCTTTATTATTTCTTAATCAACAAACGTTGCATTTTCCCACATAACCAAACCTTAAGTCAAGGAGTTTCAGGGAACGTTGCCTTATACCAGAATGCTGGACACGAGTGAAAAACGTCTGCACATACTCTATAGTACATGATAATCAGGACTCCTTAAAAAGAGACCAAATAATTTCGCTCTTGGTTAACCAAAGTCAACTATATTTTGGTACCCCTTGGTTCCATACCTTAGTCGGTAATCATAATATTACCAACTAATAGCATGAACTCGGAGGGTGATTAGTGATTAAATTTTCCTTCAAGCCTTGGGAGGTTTAGTTAAAGCCCCTTGCTGAGCCTACGGCGTCGGGACAATTAATCACTAGTCACCCTCAGGTAATGCTATTACTTGTAATAATACCGAGACGCCATTAATTACCAAGAGTGGATTTGTATCGATGTAGTTTAACCGTACGAGAACTTACCACTTTTCCTTTCGTCACATATACTGTTACTTCTTCTAAAGGAGAATGTGGCTGCAAAAAAAAAAAAAAAAAAAAAAAAAGGCTTCAATTATTATGCCGACAACGGTGCAAATAAAGTCCATATTGTTGCAATCTTCCGCTGATTGCATTCACATCGTCCATAGTGCATTTAGGGCTTGTTATGCAACATGCAACAAAACCTTGACCAGAAGCACGGGTCACGTGCTGCGCTCATGCTTGCTGCTTCTTTCCTGAGCTTCGAATAATTTTTTCGCCAGGTTCTCCGGATTTTCCATTCTTACATTAGCTGTTCCATCTGGTTGTACTACACAGGTTACATCATTCTAATGGCCTACCTTAGCTGGTCCATCTGGTCACACTACACAGGTTACATTGTTTTAATGACTTACCTTAGCTGGTCCATCTGGTAGGAACAAGTAAGCACCGCTCTTGTCTCCGTAGCCCTTGGTTCCATAGGTGACAAATTCGATGTTTATATCTGTCCTCGATTTGTCGGCCTTGTCGGTAATACTCTTAAAAATAAGAAACGCAAAATTAAAAATTGGCTCATTTCATACACCAAAATGGCGCAAGGACGAGTGAGTTACGTGAAAACGATGCAAGCATCCCGGGCAAAATGCAAATAAATAATATGATGTCAATGCAAGGCATACACTTTTTTTTTCGTTCTTTCCTCCTTATCATCGCCAACTATTCCGGCCATGCGCCGCTCGCCAAGTCAGCGGATATCATGTATAAAATATAAACCACAGGAAGCCCAAGCTCTCTCAGGCCCGGACTTAGAGAAACAAAACCTTTTGCTACGGTATTCCTGTGCTTTAATAGGTATCCTATTACAAATACGATGGCAAACGAGAGCTGAGGATTCAAGCTTTATTTTGGTACCAAACATGCCGTATTTTGCGAATAATTTTCAAGGTTTTTGCTTCACAAAGTGCCTATTCTTGAAGAAGGATCTCACAAATATTCGTCTCAAATCAGAACTTTTTGAAAGTAAAAAACGAAAAGTATAAATTCGTTCAATCAACCACAGATTCGACATCAGTAATTTAGAATGTGTGTATTTTAAGGATCGACCCCGGCAAATGAGGTAACTAGTTCTGATTTTGAGAGATCCTGTTTATAATATTTGACCTTTTGTGTTTTTTCTTGCAATTTAACAAAGCACATATGGCAAGAAGGCTGTTAAAATCTAACTATCGAGACGGAAAGGTTTTTTCAAACAAATTAAAGTATGTTTGGTAAAAATCAAATGCTTTAATTTTATATATTGTTCTTCTACCCCGGCAAGTGGAAAACTGTTTACACAGAAATTTATAAATCGAAAACTATCTTGACTCTCTATACATTTCTTTGTAAAATCTGACTTAACTCGCTTAACACTTTCAAGCGACACCGCTGCATTTGTACGCGGGCGCATGACCGGAATAGTTGGCGATGATTCGGTAACACAGCATTTTTGTGGCAAATTATAAGAAAATACTGTAAATTTGTTGGCTCTGGATGCCTTGTTTTTACCCGGTCGTGCGCCATTTTGGACTTTATGTTATTACCATTTCCTTAAAAGTTTAACCCTTTAATTTATTCATTCAGTTATCAATCCATCCTTCCACTATTTCCTTGTTCTCTGTCCCTTATTCCCTTCTTTCTTTCTGTCTTTCTTTCCCTCTTCCCTTGTCTCATCTTTGTTTCCTCCCTCCTTTCCTTCCTCCTTTCCTTCCTACACTGAGCTCTTTGTCACGCACACGACAAGGCAGCCATATTGGTGTACCAAACAACAGAAACTTTCTGCACAGTTTTTGCATAAAAATAGAGTTCAATTCCCGGAGGATAGAGAATGTATTGTTTTGTTACACCAAACATGGCTGCTTTGACGTCATGTGAAAACGCTCTATGATGACCCCCTCCCCCTAGTATCCAAAAGTTAAGCATCCAACCAAGAGCACTAGGACACCGAACGTGGTTGGATTTCTATACGGTTTTTTCCCCTTTCTTCAGTTCTAAGGAGCATCGCGCGGTCGCGTAGTGGTTGGTACAAACAGAGTCAAGCACGGAACGGCCATTAAAGAAGTAACGCTCATCGGCTATTCAAACCGTTTGACCTTTTGAAGAAAACAGCTGCATTATAGCAGCGAAGGAACACGGACACAAGATAAGTAAACAAGCATAACGTTAATTTAATTCAAATAATCGAAAGGAAAAAAACCTATAGAAATCCAACCACGTTCGGTGTCCTAGTGCCCTTGATCTAACCACTGTTTTATATTTACCTTTAGGAAGCCACTACTGCTATCAAACTCAGCCATGATATCTTCATTCTCAATACTGATTGTCTCAGACCCGCTGGCTTTAGTCTGGAAGCTAAACTCCTCGTTTGGTTTTGGGATCTCACTTTGCCTGGTGTAGGCTGTCAGTTTAGCTGTATGGTGCTCATCATTATCACGTGATCCTTCCTTGATGTGGTACATTGATAGCCCAAGGGGGGTGGTATTGGCAACAAAAACCAGCTGTTGAGAAGAAGGACATCAAACGCAATCAGACCGCCCTTTTATCGGTCCCTTAAACTATGTCAATCAAAATCCAATCGGATGTGGAAACACACTCAAATGCAAGATCATTGTCGTGTTCAAAACAATAATAGAACGAAGAAGCTGAGACCGAAAGGTATTTTAGGAAATGACGTAATTATCCTCTGGACTCGGTGGTACAAAGGGTAAATAGTACTATCCGATGGATAAATCTTATCCAGTGGATAAATATAATGGATAACAGGATCACTTTATCCACTGGATATGGAGTTATCATAAGATACATCTGATAAACGTACTTTCCATTGGGTACCATTAAGGTCTGAAATCTAACAAAGTGTACCCAGCCAGGGATGCGTTTTCTTGCTTTTGGTGTTGTCTTTGTTCTTACTTGACTTTTTAAAATTATTACCTTGTATCTTGTGGAGGATATCTTGTGGTCATCATCCCATGCCAGGTTGGTTTGACTGGGTACGACATTACCATCACTATCTTTTACCTGAAACAACAAAAAACAATCCTTATTTTTATGAGGACAGTCGACCTTCAACCTTAAAAAGTTAAGTAGAATCCTGAAACAACCCCTGGGCTGATCTAAGTCAGTGCACGGCTAACTCACAGATCGAGCCCAGAAACAATCCCTAGGCTGATCTAAATCAGACCATGGCTAACTGACTCAAAGATTGATCCCTGAAACAACCTCTGGGCTGATATAAGTCAAGACATGGCTAACTCACAGATCAAACCCTGAAACAACCTCTGGGCTGATCTAAGTCAGGGCATGGCTAACTCACAGATCAAACCCTGAAACAACCTCTGAGCTGATCTAAGTCAG